CGCGGCGTCAGGGCCGCTGCTTCCTCGGAGGGCGCCTGCGTTCAGTTCCGCGTTTAAAAGCGTTTTTATTGTGCTCCTAAGTTTGTGTGGTGGTAGCATGTGATGTAGATTGTGATGGCTGAAGCATTGCAAACAGAAATAAATGACCTTTCTTGTTTCAGGAGTAGGTAGTTTTCCTGACTGGTGTGGGTTTTTGAGCTGCACTGAGGAAAAAATGGACTTACCAGGGTGTTTAAGAAAGTGCATTAAGTTTTGCAATTTATTTTTAAGTCTTAATGTTGTAATTAGGCTGAGTACGAAGAACTCTTCTAAGGGGTGTGCGTTGAGCAGGAGAGGGATTTAGAGAAGTAGAACAAGAATTCTGTTTAAGTGTATTTTTTCTGAGGTTTTTTCCTGTCACCTTTCCCTGTAGATGCAGACTTGTTAATAAGAGGGCTGAGATTTCTAAGAGTGTGTTCTGAATTAAGTCCTAACTCATAGATAGGCAAGTAAGAAAGAATAAGGATGTTTTTGTAAACTGGAGGAATGTGACAGTATCTGTGGGATGCTGTTATTTGGGCTGTGACTATGGGCAAGCAAATATTGATGTGTAGGTTATTACACCTTGTTCTGTGTTTCTGCAACCAGGGCTTTTTTTCATTTTTTTTTTTAAATAAAAAAGACCCACCAAAACACTGTCTAATGATCAGGCGTTACTTCCAGGCAGACAGAACCCTTTCCTGCAGGGTTTGTTTGGATTTTTGATTAAAAAAAACCCAAAAAACAAAGTCAACCAATAAAAAAACCCCAACAACCCCCCCAGAATTTAGCTTTCAATTTTATTTACAGGGTAAAATGAAAAACAGGAGTGCTTGTTTGAGCATTTTTTTAAATTTCATTCTGAAAAGTCTCTCTTGCACATGATGCTAATTTATTTATTAATTTTTATTTTTTATGGAGGTGGGATGATAAGGATCAATATTTGTTCTGAAGACAGGCTAGACTGTATGATTACCAGTTATTTAATGTATGCTTGTGTTAAAAATCTGCCATGGCAGTTCTTTTAAAGATTTTTTGCAGGCTGAGGAAGATCTTCCTCAAATAACTTAAAAGTGAAACTTTCAACTACAACTTTACATAAAAATTCTTAAGTTAAGCATAGATTTGTTCAGTCTATCCTTTTGTGTTTATCCATTGTCTTTGTGTTTGACAGATGTCATGTACTCCTGATTACATTGTTAGAACAGCAGTTTATTTCATATAATTGTTTGGTTAAATTATGGGCAGACACAGCCTTCTTCATGTGAAATCACAGAGCCGTTGACAAATTCGAATGGAATGGGAAGCTGGTCTTGAAGACTAGATTATAGATGAAGGTCTGAGAAGTATCTGGAGGGTTTGAAGATACTTAAACTGTCAGAATCGGAGTGTTGAGACAATACAGAATGCGCCTGACACAATTGTTACTTGATGGGCAGTGCAGAAATGTTAGCTGTCATCTAATGTGTTATGTATATCCTTGCAATTATGAAAACTTAAAATATGCTACAGCTTTCTGATTTTCTAATATTAACTCATTTTCTTTGCAGACGGGATAGAATCTCTGATTCCCTCACCCAGCGTGGTAGATATGAATCTGAAGATAACTCACATAGAGTGCCATCCTGAATGCTCGGTTATAGTGTTCCAGGGTCAACACAAGGCCGTATGTGAGCTTGACTATTACATATTACAAAAAGAAATACAGCGCGTGTTCAAAGTAAAAGATAATGTTTGTGTTGGTGGATCTTGTTTGGTGGAAGACACAAGAGGAACATGGCATAGAGGAAGACTTGTGGAAAAGAGAGAGAATACCTGTGAGGCTTTTCTTATAGACACTGGGCAAGTGGTAGCAGTTGAGGAAACACACCTTGCTTCTGCTTGTGATCAGTTGTTTCAGCTTCCTCCAAAGGTTGTCTTGGGTATTTTTGCAAACATACTTCCTCTTGAGAAAAAGTGGAGTCCAAAAGCCATTAACTATTTTTCATCTCTGGTAGGATTACAGATTACAGGTCATGTGAAAGCTGTTAGACCATACCAGCTCTTCATTCTGGAAGTGCCAAAGATCATTAATGATGTTCTTGAACTGCAGTTAGGAAAACTTATTGATGGGGATTCTTTTTGTCTTATTGTAGAAACATTAAGAGCCTTTTCCCTAGAAACGCTTTGCAAAAAAGTGCCACAGTTGTTGCAACAGAAATATCCCATCAAGGAGTTACTTACTTTCAAAAATTCTGACAAAATGGATTTTTGGCCAGTTCCAGATGCTCTCTTTCCTCGTCTACTTGTTGGCAGTAAAGAAAATGTAAAAATAACTGTTGCAGTAAGCCCAGATAAATTTTACTGTCAGATAGAGAAATGGCAGAAAGAGCTTGCAAATTTGGTGGGGTCGATGCATTTGCATTATGAAGCTAACAGTACAGAAAATAGTAAATCTTTTGATAGTTTAGGGCTACTCTGTGCTGCCAAAGGAAAAAATGGACAATGGCGTAGAGGAGTGATAAAACAACTTCTCTCTGACTGCGTCGAAGTCTGGTTTATGGATTTTGGCAATACTGAAGCTGTGCCATCTAGCTGCATTCAGAAACTTAGAGTAGAGTTTATGGCATTACCTATGATTTCAGTTCCATGTGCGCTGTCTTCTTTTGGTAATCAGGATGAAACAGTAATAAAAGTACAGCTGAAAGAGCTTACGCAGGCCTTGATAGAACAAAATTCTGTGTGTGTCCATGTTGATTTATTTGATGACATTAAACACTTGTATTATATTACGCTGCAAACTGGAAGTCTTGGAATTAATGCTAAGCATCCAGAAAACCTGAATGAGGCAGCTGTGTCATGTGTCTTGCTTTCAGAAACAAAAATTACAAGTATTGCTGTAAACTACAAGTCATGTCACGAGAGCCGCAATTCATTTAAGGATCGTACTGGAAATAAATATACAAAAAAGCACTTACCTAAATGGCATATGTCTTTGTCCAGCCAGTGCAAAAAAGTGGAAATGCAAATCAATTCTTCCCATAATGCTTTTGTGGTATATGTCATAAGTCCATCTGACTTCTGGATTCAACCATGTGAATATTGCAATGAGTTTGAAGCCTTGATGAAAAGTCTTGCAGATGCATATAACCACTGTGGAGCTGATGAGATGATCCTTAAAAACCCAGAACCTGGGTTGCTTTGCTGTGCCCGGTATAGCGAAGACATGTGTTATTATCGGGGTGTTATCATTGAAGTGCTTCATGTAACTGCTACTGTTTATTTTTTGGATTTTGGAAATACAGATACAGTATCCTTTCACGATGTGAAAACGTTGCTTCCCGAGTTTTCCAATTTACCAGCTTTAGCTGTACGTTGTGAGCTTGCTTGTATATTTCCTGTTGATAATGTCTGGGTTAAAAAGGAAACTGATTTCTTCAAACGCATTGTGTTTGACAGACTGCTGCTGCTTCATGTCATTGGAAAGCAAAACAACAAGTGTGTTGTTAATGCGCTATATAGGGATGGTTTGCAGCAGAGAAGTGTTGCTACTTGTATGGTTCAAGCTGGATGTGCTGAATACTGCGAAAAGACACCAAAATCCGTTCTAAATTTGGCAAGAAACCGTAAAGACCTAAACAACCGCAGATTAAAGAAGGGAAAAGTAAATGCACAAAATGTCTCTATTATTTGTAAAAATAAGGTATCCAGAAATGGAGAGATGTTTCACAAGGAAAAATCATTAAGTGTGTCTTCTATGCTGAGAGAATCTGTTGCGCTCTCCTGCTTTGGAAAAGGTGCGATCTCTAAAAAGCCTAAGGTATGTGAGGAAAAATTATTTTATAAAGAGTTTGTGTTCAGACCAGGAACTATTTTTAAAGTGGTGTGTTCTTACATTGTTTCCCCTGTGGATTTCTCATGTCAGATGCAAAGCAAACTGCCGGAGCTGAATAACTTAATGGAACAAATTCAGGCTTACTATAAAGAGCATACCAGTCCTTACAAAACTGGACAAGTTGCCTGTATTGTTAAACGTCCCAAAGATGGGAAGTGGTACAGAGCAAAGGTTGTACAGCATATATCCACAAAAGAAGTTGATGTGGTTTTTGTAGACTATGGTTATCGGGAAAGAGACTTCAGGCTGTTCTTCCAGATTTTGTAACTCTAGAAAGTCAAGCATTTCAATGTCGTTTTAAAAACGTACCCTTACAGAGTGACTTGGGTAACTGGTCTGAAGAAGCGCATAGACATTTTGAAGACTTTGTTTCTGCTTCTAGAGGACCACTGACTTGTGTCGTTTATGCTCTTGTTCTTACAAGCACCAACTGTTTATGCAATATAGTTGACTTACAGACTCCATCTATTAGTGCAGAAGAATTCCTTGGAGAACGTGGTCTCACTCAGGCTGAATATATTGGTCTGAGAAACTTTGCCTCTTTGGGTTCTCTGTACAGTTTTTGCTACTCATCCTTTAACTTGAAAGCTGGAAGCGAGGAGGAAGTTTATATAACTCACATACATAGTCCTTCAAAATTCTATTGTCAACTTAATCGAAACACTGCAACTCTGGAGGCGTTGATGAAGAAGGTTAATGATATAAGTAAACTGTCAAATAATGCAAAATATGATACCAGCAATACGCGATTATGTATAGCCAGGTATTTTGAAGATGGTCTCTTTTATAGAGCTTTGGTTTCTCCTGTGGAGTTGACATCCTATCTGTCTGCTGACTTTGTGGATTTTGGAAATAGGAGTATAGTAGAGAGAGACCAGTTGATGCCTATTCCAGATTCTGCCAGTGACCTAATAATCACACCCATGCAAGCTATTTAGTGCTGTCTGTCAGGTCTTAGGAAGAAAAAAATTCCAGCAAGAGTTACTAGATGGTTTGAAGAAACATTCCTGGGTAAACTGCTAAAGGCTGTAGTTGTAGCTAGAAATGCAGATGGACAGATTATTGTGGAGTTGTATGATGGACAGCTTAAAGTAAGTCAGAAAACTAATGAAAAAATTTGTGAAGAATTGGGACTGAAAAATTGTACGGGAGAATTTGTTGGAGGTAACAAAGGAGAGATATTTCACAAGGAAGATGACGAAGAAATTAGTGAAGTAACTGTTAAAAATCCTGAAAATGTTAAATTGAAAACTGAAGTGAAATGCCAAGTATATGATAGGTATTGCCAGACAGATACTGGACAGCATTTTGGAGATGAAGAGCAAACTGCCTGTTGCAGACAAAAGTTGTGTAGTAGGTCCTCAGAAGTGGTAACTTTACAGGACAGTGGAGAACCAGGTTTTAGAAATACTATCGGTGCTATACTGGAGCACAGAGAAGAACCTCTGGTGGGAGACCCTGCTTCTCGCTTACTCTGTCATCCTGCTCCAAATTCAAAGGAAAGAACTATAAATGCTCTTTCTGAATCTCGTAATGAAAGACTAAATAATGCAGGTCAACAGGAAAGAAGTAACCAAAATGCACCTAAATTATTCAGTCTTCATCAACAAGTTCAGGTGAATTCTGAAGTAGCAGAGGGTATTTCTCACATGAATAGTCTATCAAGCTTCTATGTTCAGCTTGCAGAGAGTGAAAACTTAATAACGCAACTAGCAAAACAATTAAGTGAAAGTATGATGAATAGAGGTAATGGAAACCGCTTAGATGAGCTCATGGTGGGAGATCTCACTGCTGCAGAGCGTGATGCATTGTTTTTACCACAGTAGTTATTCATACTTGGAAATTGGGAAGCTCCTTTAGGAGAGATTTCATTGGGTATGGTAACGCAGCTCTTTGAAGTCATTCAAAAATCTGCAGGATTCAGAAAAAGTTCTTAACTTTGCTGGGGTTCAGTGTTCATTGTTTCCTTAGCAGAGTAACAAGGGTTACTGATGAAAACTGACTGAATTCTGACTAATAAAAGCACTTCTTATTTTGTAAGTGAAATAAATGACTTAGTCACTTGCAAGTTCTTGGAGCAACATGGAGGACTTAAGTCAGAAAAAGCAGATATGTCCAGGAAACATTAAGAGAGATTAAGACAGTGCCAGCTGATCTTTACGAGTATAACTTTGCTGATGAATTTTTCAAAGAGTGCAAATATTTTCAGCTTAAAAGGGGTAGATGCCCATTAGTAAAAAATCAGAAAATATGTAAGATGGAATTTCTTACGTACATATTAGCTGAAGTATCAGAAATGTTTCATTAATGTATTGATTAAATAGTATATGGCGGTTGTAACCATTTGTGATTGTTTAGTGTTTTCTTTATATTGAACTATTTTATTATATTATTGCAGAATTTGAAGTTTTTCCTAGTTAAAATTACAAGCTTACTTGGCATATTCTAGTTTGATGTACTGCTTGCTCTTAGGATAAAACACACATTGTATTGTGCAGCATTACTCATGCTGAGTGATGAATTTACATTTATTTCACTGGAATATATTCATTGTAGAGTCAATACTTAATTTTTATGTAGAGACACTTAAGGGTTAATTAACTCAGATCTAACTTTGGCTGTTGTTCAACTGGAATAGCAGGTGGTTGGCTGTTTTTTTAAAGATCATCTGGACAACCTAAACACCAGTCCTGTTGATGTAGTATTAATACACAACTTGTGTATTTGTTTGATTTTTTTTTTTTTTTGGCTAATGTAAAGTATATTGTGCTTTAACCTGTGTGTAGTTGTAGAACACTGCTTATCTAAAGTTACAAAATGGAGTCTAGAAATGATGGATGATTAAGAAAAGCAGCTGCATGTGTCCTGTTTTTATGTTCTGCAAATTGCAAATGTTAGATTATTTGCAAGAGTTTATGTTCTATTCTCAACTCATAATGAGTTTAGCTTGTGATAATAGTTCCTTTTCCGAATGTCTGATACCCGAAGTGCTTAAAGTAAAAACTAGGTAATTGAAATTCTTTTCAGGATTATGCTGCACCTGTAAATGTGTGGCTTTTGTTGCCACTATTGATACAGATTTTCAGAAGTTCATTAGTATTATGTTAACGATTTTTAGATTAAGTTGCTGGGATGTCTGACTCTGGATTTCATTCTCAGTCTTCTTCCTTTGGTGTGTACTTCCCCTGCCTGGAAACTCAGCTGAAAGAGCATTTTTCTTCTAAGTAAGAGAGGCTATACTTGTAATCAAACTGTGATTATTTTTTTTATTATTATTATTTTTTTTTTTTAGGAACTGGAACTTTGTGTTTTCTTATTTGATTTTGGGCGGGCATAATTCTGGGTGAAGCTCCTTCAATTTGGTAAATTTTAGTTAGAAACTACTGTTTATCATGTGGGTTTATTTCCTAAATATATGTCTTGATTTGTTTATACTGTGTCATTGATTACTTTGTTTTGATTTTTTTTTTAAATATGTGAGAGTGATAGAGAATCACTTGCATTTGTCTGGAATTAAAAACGTTCCTGTGTGTACCGATGTATTCAGTATTCTACTTTTTGTCATGAATAATAAAACGCTTATCTTCTGGGAGTAGCTTGCCTTGCCTAAGTCATTCTGAATATTTTGAAGCTTTCTCTGACCTTTGTGGTTGGTGAATCCATATGAAAAAAAACCCAAACTTAGGCTGTGTTGGTATTTTCTTTGTGAGATGGTGCCAAGGAACAATCCTTGCCCTCTCAGCTGGGAGCTGTGGCGTGGATTGTATGTCCTGCACTGGATGGACGTTTGCTTTTGAGCGTTGTGCAGGTGGCGCAAGCTGTCTGTCTGTACAGCTTTCTGGATGCGATACAGGCCACGCTTGGCCTTCGTCTGCTTTGTGCTGATCAGAGATGCTTTTACTGGTGCACTCTCTAAAAGCAGCCAGGCTTCAAATGCCAGATAGGTACACTGTTACGATACCATTACTTAGAACTTTTTTAGATCTGTATGTGGTTACTTCAAGAAACATTTTCGGTTATTTACTTTTAAAGATTTGCATTGCTGAATGTTTAAACTGTATTGAAAAGATTAGTTAGGTGTTTTTTAATGATACAATGCTCTATAATTCTAATTTTATAATGTTTATAAAACTTCCCTGGTATCGGGGAAGGATATGTGTGTGTAATATTTTTTTTTCTGTTTTGTTTTCCTAAGGGAGCTTTAAGATAGCATAACTGTACAGTAAGATGCCTGAGTTTTAGTAACGTACCATGCAGTGTTACTCCCTAGAAGAATAATACCTCTTTGCTGATCCTTTCTCGCCGATCTAGGAGTAACGCAGTAGTATCTTCAGCAGCACATGTGTTCGAACCTCAGCCAGCAGAAGTAGTGGGCCTGAGAGAAGGAGATTTGAAATCAATAAGGATTCATGTAAGAAGAGAAGCAGAGAATGAACAAGTGAAATGAGACAGGTGGTTCATGAGTTTTGAAATGGCTGACTACTTGGTCAATGTTTGTATGGGCCAGTGGCAGAGCTTACCTCCAGACTTTGGTCTGCGGCTAACAACGCACACCAAGGCATGCACACACAGTCATCTGCAGACATTAAGGGTAGTTAAAAGCAAAGTCGGAGGCTGTTTCACATCCTTAAGTTTGCTTTTATGGAACAGATCATAATTTGTCAGTTTTTAAGAGCTCTTCTTCACACTCTAAGCTCCTATTGATTTTCCTAGCTTTTATTGCAAACTTGAAAAAGTTTCATACGCTAGGTTAGCGCTGAAATGTAAACTTTTTCCTGAAAGCCAAAACTTGGATGCTTTCTGGCCCATAGTTTATAGAAAGATATTGTGTGGACAGAGGTGCCCCAATAGATTGAAGTTCACGGAAAGTATGCCAGCCTGCCAGGTGGCTTGTGTCCCTTTAGATACTTGAGGAGTGGCTTTGGGACTAGAAGCATAAACTCTCTTCCATCCTCTGCTCCTCCATCCCTCTCCAAGGTGTTTAAAAACATCCCCATACATTCTTTTGCTGTAGACTCTTGGTGTACTTGGCTCTTTCAACAGCTGCTTGTAACAGCATATAACGTGCTGAAACATTGGCTAATTGCATACAACTGAAGGGATAACTGTTCCTGAGGCCTCTGTCAGCTGTGTTTTATAATCTGTACTTTGATACATGGTATGAGGTTCGATGGGGACATTGCTAAGTGTACATGCTGCAGAAAAATATGAAGGTGAGAGGTGGGGAGGAAAGACTTCTGCCTCAGAAAGTCACGGAGTTGTAAGTGAGGGGGCAACACAGTCAGGGCAGATGTGTCCTGATACCCTTCGAGTGCTCTGAGGGAGCGGGAACTCCCCCAAAATAACAACTCTGCTATTGCTTTATTGGCTAATTCAAGAGTGGGAATAGCAGAGACAGGGAAAGCTGCTCCAGTTACAGCTGGGGTTGCTTTTAGCATTCGGCATGTCGTGGGACAGCAGAAAACACTTGACATGAAAGGAGTTTGTGATACCAGCTGCACTCCTCTTCGGATTTATGGAGAAGGTATTTGCGTGGTGGCAGTGCCCCTTGGAGATGCATCGGGGTGAGCTCCTGTCGCTTTGCAGGAGGCTGCTGCTCTCTGATGAACGGTGTGAGCTCACTGGCACCTGCTGGCTCTGTGCACAGGCCAGGCTCCTGGCAGGCATTTGCTGGGTATTTGCCCCTTCCTTAGATTGCCTTTGAAGGGCTGATCTCTCCGATTTTATTGTGGGAAAAGGGGAAGCATTGGAATAAGCAGAGTGGGAGAAAAAGGTTGGAGATGCTATTTACAGGAGGCTTTGTATAAAAAAAATGTTTGGAAATTCCTGATTTCTGTATATACATAGATGCTATGTTTGCAGACTAGGTATTCAAAAACACTTAAAAATGCACATTCCTGTTAATGGCCAGTAAATTTCTATTTCTTAATTATTTAGACACATTTTAAAATGTTTTTTTAATTTCTTTCTCTGCAAGATTTTTTTTTTATAATAATAAACATTGTGAAAACAAAAATCATGAAAATATTTATTCAGGTCTGAACCAACTTTAAGGACAGCTATCTTGATTCCTGCAGATTTAATAAGAATGTTTCTAGGGCTGCCGTGTCTAGATCTGCATAATGAAGGAATTAAAACTCTGGTTGCGGCATAATTTTTAGTGAGCAGTAAACATTAGGTATCCAACTGAGCGACCCTGAAATATAACTAGACCTAGTTCTGTGAAATTATTTTGCTGCAAATAAAAAGAAATAGAGTAAAAGTGGGTTTTAAATGGGTTTATTTTATTTTTTTTTTACTTTAAAGGAATACCAAGGTGTTAAGAGAGAAAACACTGTTTGATGGACTTTGATTCGGATTAATTCTTCAGTGTTTAATCACCCTGATTTCATAGGAGTTTGAACTTAGCGCATAATGTATGATCAAGCTCTTTAATTATGTTCATTTTCTTTTAAGCTGTGGAGCCACTGATCTCCTCTAATCTGACATTCCATGTAATGTGGAATTTCACTTACTTTTGCGTTAAGCTAGTATTCCTCCTTCTGCCTCCAAGGGTTTGGATGGTCATCTCTCACTTCCCACCTTCAAGCTATAAGATTGCTACTCACCCCCTTGAAGCTGTTTTTACTGTACGAAAAATAAAAAAGAGCTGTGATATGTCTCTCTCTAGCCACAGGAGTCAAGTCTAGGAGCTAGACAATTTCTTGGGCAGAGGGAAACCTATGCTCCAATATCTCAAAGGAATTCTTGTTTTTGTCTGAACTGTTCGCTGATGAAATAACTCTGGGAGCAGACAATAGGACTTTCATAATCCAGTCACGTTCCC